GCATACACAAGACTCTGGGTAACTCCCTTGTAGAGCTAGTTGTGACTAGGCATGGGAGAATATACTAAGGAGAATAATTGTAAGTCTCCACATTTCACATTCAGGAACCAACCTCTAAAACTCCTATGATTCTTTTTTGCCCACTGCTTGAAATGCCTCTTTACAGCAGATGATGGAATTTCAAAGTAGAGAGAAAGAATTTTGTGATGCCAATAGTCAGAAGCACTAACAAAATTGTGATATTAATCTTGCCATTCTGTAGCAGTCACTTTAAATGATCTAAAGTGTGTCAGGATTTGCTGTTGGGCCAGCAGCAGCAGCACGTTTCTGCAGTTGCATTCTGTGGCAACATCTGAGCTAGCAAGCTGACAAGCATAAAGATGATGAGGTTGTAAATAATGCTCTAGAACCAGATTGTTCTTGGAGAATCTATACTCTACAAATTTCTCCATCCAGGCTAGAAGAGATGAGAAAATGAGAGTAGATTGCGCTGTAGACCTGGGATGAGAGAATGCTGTCTATCCTATCAGGAATTTTCAGCATTGTGTGCATTTTGCTTAAAGTGCATGACTATATTTGTAATCTGCTTTGCATAGTTTGTCTTATTTCTGTATTTTAAAACCTTTTCTTATTAAAGATCATTTATGTGATCACTTATTAGTTGAAAGTGTGTCAGATGTTTGCATGATGTGAGAAAAAATAGTATTTTTAAGTAAAAGCAAAACAGATAAACAAACCCAGACTTTAAGCCTTTATTTGTTCTATATAGTGTAGACAAAAAAAATCCAAGTACAAAATAAAATTAACAGAGAAAATTGGGTGTGGGGAATGAACAGTGCAGTAAAAATAACTTCTGAACACATAAAAGAGTTCTGTCAAGAAGGGTTCATTGATGCAATAGGTAGGATCTTCTTCTCCCAGTGCATTGGCACAAACCCATGGAATTAGAGTACCATGACAGTTGGCCAGTGTGAAGGATCTGATGGATCAGCGAGCTCTCACTGGGTGCTGTTCATCCAGAAAACAGTGCAGTCTGAGAGTCCTGATATTGGTGATATGGTGCCAGTTAGAAGGGTTTTCAAGAGGTTGTAGGACCTCTGCTAGTTTTTCATGATGCAGGGCATTCAGATGTAACATTTGTGATCACCAAGGAATATAGTCACTAACTGTGGAGTCTGTCTGCTGAGGGTGCCCCCTAATTGCTGCTACATTCTGCCTTCATTCATATCATTCTTTGAGTTGATAGCCAGGATCCTTTCTTAGGTTTCTTAGGTTTCTATGTTTGGTTGAACCACAGCCAACATCTTGGTGACAACCATAACTTTCTTCAGCTTTAAGTTCATCTGCCTCCCACTTATTCTTCAGTGATGCTGCTACAGGGTGCTTGGCTATTTTCTCCTTGGTTTGCTTGTTTTGGATCCTTAAGTTCAGTACACTGGTTATTGTTAGTGATGGTAGGTTTAGGATCTGGTAGTTGCACGTGCAAAACCTAAAAGGCCAAAAAAGTAACCAATGATTATTTTTATTGTAATGTCTCCTTGGCTTTTGAGATAAAACTTTTTTCCTTCCTACTATTTTGGAAAGCCATTTTCATAGCCTCTCCCCGGAATTGTGAGCCGATGAAGAAAGTATGTCAATTTGGATCACTTGCATGTGGAAGCATTAAAGTTTACAGGCCACCTTGTATTCTAGAGGTCTGCATCATATGCTACCTGCTACTCTGTTACTATGCCATACATGTTTTCTGGGTTAGGATTCCCAATTTATCTAGACAGAGCTGTAATGGCTTGCACTGTATGTTACATGCTGTTTTGTTACTTGCTGTGTTTGTATTAACACTGGGGCATGATATAATTATAGTAGTATTTCAAAGGACATACCCTAAGTGGCGAGGGGCTGCTGAGTCCAGGTTGATGTCTGTACCCTAACTTTGGAGAAAATACTCCCTCTGTATCTAAAGAAACAGTAAAGATGGTAGCACAAGACAATCCAGCTATGTATGCACCATGGCTATAAAGATGATGTTCTTAGAGATCTTCCATGCAACTTATTCAAGAACAAAGGGAGAAAACAGACCTAACCTACAGTGTTAGAGCAGTACTAGAGTATTTTCGGTACTTGATATGCCATCTTATATTAACTACTGATATGCTCAAAGATTGTTGCACCAACTCTTTCCCTTCTGCAGTAATGGCATGTATAGGGAGTAGCAGAATTTGTGCTTTATAAGTCACAGTTTGGTATCATCGTTTGGTGCTATGCAGAATAGTTTGGAAAGGTTCTACATCCTCTACACTTCATGGTTCTGCCAAGGGTTTGTGAGAAATTTTAATGGCTTTGTTACAAAATGGGGGTTTTTGTGAGGTTATGGAAAAACCATTAATTTTTTGAGCAGTTACATCCTATCACTCTTGACTTGGTTTCCTGTATTAATATTCCTTAAATAAACAAACAGCATGTACTCTACTGCAAAACTATAAAAATCTAATTACTTGATAAGCAGGAATCCACAGTAAGGAATTATCTTTTGGATTTTTTTTTAATTTGCAGTGGCCAGAACTTGATAGAGCAGGGAATGGAGCAGATAGCACCACAACACAAGGGATAGCAACTTCAACAGGGGAAAGGTTGATACTGGAGTTCTAGCAAAAGCATGCAACACAGTTGAGGAATTAGCTTGATTTGGAGAACAGATGAGGGAAGGGAGGATGTTGCTTTCTCCCCTCCCCCCCACCAAACAACTACACTCAGAAGTAACTACTTTGAGCATGTAGAAAGAGGCTTAATATGGAATGAAGGTGATCAGAACTCACATCTTCCTATCATGGCAGTTCCCAGTACTGCCAATAAAACAAGAAACAGCTGCCTAAATATTGGCATGCATTAAGAATTAATGCAAACGTACAATGCTTACCACATCCTCCTTTGTGTTATTGAGACCAAAGCGTTGTTAGACGTGGTATGTTGCCTGGCAACAGAACTGGACAGGGAAGTTCAGGTTGTATTAGTGCCCAACCAAGCTGTCTGGTGATTCCTCCCATGGAGATTCCCCAAGTGGGCCATGATGGGCTGCTCAGTGCTAGCATCCCTTGACAAAAGCCCATCCAGCTTCTTGTAGTATAGGAGGTGGTTTGCTCTGTACCAGATGAGCAGTTTTTGTCCCTCACCTGTTTCTAGTTCTTCAAGTTGTTCCTTATGCTCCATCTCCATATAGACAGCCTCATATGCCTCCTGGTTATGGTTGTTCTGAACAAGGTTTATTGCATCTTTTATTTTGTGCAAGGGGCCAAAATCTCAGCCTGTTGTCCAGTTGCAGACATGAATGAGACTATACATTTCTAAATTTCTCAGGAAATGCTTTCATGTGTTGTCATGTGAATACTATCAACGTGTTGTTCCATGGGGCATCTGGGCAGAGAAAAAGAACCTGACATAGGAGCAGAAGAAACCACACAGGGAAGCAAAGTGCCCAGACCAAGGAAGCTTACAAAGAAATGTGGGAAGGTAGTTGGCAGACAACCAAAATAAATCTGGGCAGGCTTACAAACTTGAGATACAATTACACAAAATTCTCTTTGGATAAAAAGTCCAGATTTACATTTGCATCCTTATATCAGTACAAGAGCTTATGTCATGTGGATGTGACTTAATTACACCACATTATAGGATTTAACCAAGGTAACCAGCTTATATGGACAAACCCTCATTCTTCCTTTGCTAATTGTGGTCCCATTCCCACTTGATACATTCCTGGGTTTACAATTATCCATCTAGTATAAATCTATCTTATTCTCAGCAAACTGGTGAAGGAGGAAATGGTAATGACAGCAAATTGCTGTATTTGGTGTCGCAGGACTTCACCCAGCTGCTGCTGCTTCTCATTATTTTATTATTTTTAGCTCATTTCCCCACTGATTCTCTCTTCCTCTCAAACCTACAAAGCAATTAAAAACAAAAAAATCTGGTATGAATGCTTATGCAAGCACTATCTGTATAAATTACCTTTTTCTTGTGAAGACTCATATAAGCAAAAGTCAATTACTTGAATGTGCTTGGAAAGCGAATGCAAAATGGGTGCTTGCCTGAGCAAAGTAAACTCATTTGTAAATTCAAGCAAATATTCAGGGAACATCATGTGCAGTATTTTTGTCCCTAACTACTAGGGCCTGGTGCAGACTCAAAGAAAAAGTCAATGAAAATTACTTGCACTGACTTCTGTTGGCTTGGACGCAGCCTGTAGTAACTATAATGTAAAAACTAATGGTATGTTACTTGCTTGTCAAAACGAATTACTGGGCTCAGGTGAGTGAATGAGTAGACTTTTGCAAGACTGGTATCAATATCAAAGGTTAAAATTTCAGTAGCTGAAGTGAATGACTGCCATCTACTCCATTTAGGTTGGTGAAATATCAGTTTTATGCTAATAGAAAAACCAGGAAAACCTAATAGAAAATGCTTTGATTAAGGTACTTGTGTGATGACCTCTCTCTCAGTGTAAAAATAGAAATAGTAAAAATAAATAAATAATATAAATTACATTTCTGTAACAATGTAACACATGTTAACAGCTGTTACTGTAACAGTATTTTCCACTAGTGTATTCAGAGATCGGAATGATGAGGTCTCTTTGAGGAATCCTTAAGTTACTATGGATCTCAGAGGGTGATTTTCTTTATTACTGGATGAAAAGCAGGCAACATCAAGAGAAAAGATAAACATAAATCACTCAGGGTTCTTGTGAAATTATAGTATAAGAATGTGACATTCTATAACAGTTGACACTGGCTTTTCTGTAACAAATGCATTCCAGAATGCAGCTTCTCAGTTTCTTGTATCATACAGTAACAAACCCCCAGGTTTACAATAAAGTACAACCAGAACTAACACACGCTGGCCTACAGAAAGAATATAGATCAAAGATGGCATAACTTTCCATTGCAAAACAGAATCCATAGAAGAGGAATATTAATGTATAGTGGATACAGGTCTTCAACCTTTACCTTTGTGGCAGCATCGAAGCATACAAAGCCCATGCTAAAGTCAATGGTAAGCCCCATAAGATGGCTCTCCAAAACACAGGCATATGTCTTGCACTGCAAATATCAGAAAACAAAGTTAGTATACTCTGTCTTATGCACTCATGTATTAGTTTCCAAAAGGTTTTTTTTTTTCTAATGCACACATTTTCTATTGTGTACAACTCAAAATTATTGTTAGAGAAGAAATCACTTATATAATGAGCCAATTTCATCCTTGACATATCACAAATCAATGGAGTTATATCAGAAATGAACTTTTCCAAAGACGATAGGAAGAGGCTATGGTTCCATTAAGGAGAAACAAATCAAAATTCAACAATTTTAATGGCCTAATATGACAACTGCTAAAAGGAAAGTTTCATTCTATCCAGATACTAACTTTGATTTTAGAAGATGAAACTAATAACTTCTACAAAACTTTCATAAGTCCAGATAAAAAATAAAGTGTATGAATAATATCTGTTGAAACTCTAGATGTAAGGGGTGCTCACGTATGTAAATCAATTCATTTCCTGTCAAACTGAATGCCCTACTTGAAACTTGGTTTCACGTTCATAAAGGCAAAATTGCATTGTTTAACACAACTTCCGGATTTTACTGTAAAACAGATTAAATTAAAACAAAATCTGATGCACTAAAGTGGTTTTTAAAGGCCATTTTTACAAAACTATGTATAAAGGAAATTGTTAATGGGAAATTTTGCATTTCAGATTTAAGTCAGAGACTGCTCAATGATGATTGTAAGGAACAGCATAAAGAGTAATGTTTTTTGCTACATTCAGTTTCAACCATTCTAAAATCTATGTACTATATGCACACCGTGTCAATGGGATGAAGTATAAATAATTAACATGGGCACAACGTTAAGTTACTAAATGTTCATCAGTTTTAAGACGAATATTTATTTCATATAAAGCTTTGACTAGCAATGAGAAATAAAACAGAAGGTAGGGAAGGGTGGCACCTCAGAGAACAATGAACTCTCATAAGCTACAGACTGCTACAGCCTAGTGAACAAGCTAGTTTATAGGGTGTAACCCTGCCTTGCTTTCTGCCTAACTTCAGGTAACACAACTAACTACCTCTCTCTCCTAATAAGAAATAAGTAAGAACGTAATTAATATTTGTGTTTATTGACATATATCCCATTCAAATGAATGTCTTATTTTTTCAATTTTCTGGCTTTGCCTCATTGCAAGGTAAAATCTCAGCTCAATTGCTATTACTGGCAATATATTTATTTCTGACTCTCAAACTCTAAGACTTTTCCCTCAAAATTAAAAATCAAGGGAGTTTAATTGCTTACAACCTCTGAAAAACAGGTTGTGTTTAGTTAGATTCTTAAGTGTCAATTCAGAAACCTATCTTGAGAAACCCCCATTTTGAAACTTGATCTTAAATATCTTTGGAAGCATAGGAACTTAGGGCAGGATTCTTAGAATGGAACTAAGATAAATAAAGGTAAGGTTTTTCAAAAGCATTCAGTGTCTTATATTTTTTGGCATTTTTAATACTCTAAATTCCATTTAGTTGTACAAATGACACATTATTTCAACATTAACACCATATTGTATACAGTAAAACTTACACATATACTAATACATATATAGAGAGAGTAATTGTAACCATATTTTAATAGTTCTGTAGTCATGTTGTAGCCATGATGATGCAAGAAATAAGTGAGAGACAAAATTTTTGTGTGAGTGATATCTTTTATTGGATACAGTGCATAATTGGTATAGTTCTAGACTAGGGACCTGAAGAAGAATGTACTTCATTGGAAAATGTGTTTATGCCTATCTCAACCAGACCATTGGTTTAGTAAAAGATATCACCCACAAAAACCCTTGCCTCTCATTGTAAATGCATACATTTATATAAAGGATAACTTTTCTTTTTTGAAACACAAATTAATTGGCTGTTTCCTTAACACAAGGATCACAAATTACATCTTCTCTTTTTGAAGGGCTCTTCTCTGCTCTTAAGACCCCTGTTACCAATTACATAATAATGCAATTAATTAAACTGTTGCATAATTATTTAATTGCACAATAAATTTAGACTGGCCGCATGTGCAAAGACTGGCCAGAACTGCCAAGTAATTATCACACAATTAACTGGTTAATCTAGCAATAAATTTAGACCCACCACATGTGCAAAGTAATTATCAGACAATAAAAAATGACTATCCAGCTATGAAAAGGGCCAACAAGCTATAAAGATAGTGCTTGGAAATGTGTAACAACTCCATAGTTAGTTTTTATCCAGCTTTAATTTGAATGTGTAGCATGGCCCCACAAGAACAAGTCAGGTATATCTGCTACTTATACTGCCTGAAACATTAGTCATTGATGGGTTATGATTTAAAAATTGATTTCTCTGACACTTTACTGTAAGTTGGGTTTTTTTGGAAACTGAATGTTCGTGTAATATCTATGCTGCTCTATCTTTGTGCTACTTTTTTGTCCCAAATAGAATCAAGTCACACATCAAGGTTGTTGCATAAATTGTAAACAAACACCATGGAATTCATGTACTGAAGCTTCAGACCTCGACCACTTAAGTTCATGGAGAATTTCTATTAACATTCATTACAGTACATGATTAAACTGTATATAGACATCAACACATATATGCCACCCACTACTGTGGTAGACAAATGATTAAGTGGTTTTTCTGTGAGTGAAACACAAACAATTGAACCTAGGCACAATCAAAATATGAAATCAAAATAAGAACATGGTCTAATTCTTTACAATTATTTCTAAAATAATCTAATTCCTACACTTAACATACTTAATTGAATATGAGATGACCCTGATTATAAAATGACCCCACCACATAATTAGATTTTATATATGGAAAATGTATACATTTTTTATACGTTTCAAGGTATAGAATCTAATTACTGGAGAATTGTCTTGAATTTGTCCCCCTTCCTCTGCTACATCAGGGAAAAAAAAATCTGGGGGATCAGGTAGCCCCATCGTCTTCTGCCCCAACAAACTTCTTTCTCCTGAAGCCTCTTCCCTTATTCCTTCCTGTCAGACTCTGCTCTCCCAGACCACATGGAAGCAAGAAGCAAATTTGAAAAGAGTGGGTGCATCTACAATAAAGACTCAGAGTCTTCACATGTGGCCTTATAAGGCCACAGGAAACTAATTAACTCAGCTGTAGGTTAGTACTTGTCAACACAAGTACTCTCCTATAGCTGCATTCTTTAGTGTGCAGCAGTGCACATGTAGATGCTGAAGGGGCTGGCTGGGGCATAGGGATGCTTCAGTACTAGAACTGCCTGCTGGCTAGTCTCACAATGAAACACCCTTATGTCCCACCCAGCCCCTCTGCAGCACACTGACCTAGGTCAGAGTAGCCCCAGAACAACAAGTTTTAGCACAGGTACTTCATAAACACACTTTTAAAAAACACTTTTGTACCTATTTGTATATAGTATAAACTATGCGTGACATTAGTCCAAAGCCAAAAGGCTCACAATTTACCATACAGCTTACCATGCTGTGCCCCAGAAGAGACAACTGCATTTCAAACTATGGTCACTTCACAGCTCAGCCATGCTCAGTATTTGTGTGTACTCCAGATACCCACCCAAACAGGGTTTCACATGACAATTAGGCCCCCACTCATGACTGGAAGCAAGTGTTCTTGTCAACAGGCCTTAGATTCTACAAAAATATATATGAAGATGAGGTACTGGGCAACCTGGTCCACCTCCACCACATGGAATGTGCGGCCAAACTAATCATATTGGAGGAGCTGAGGAGGTGACATAGGAATTCTAAGTAAGCTATTTGGGTCCCTGTTCACTGATGTTTGCTAAATACTTAAGGATGGTTAAAAAAACAAAAACAAAACAGAACGAATTGGAAATTGGAAAGAAAGGTACAGCTCAGTTCTGGGAGTGAAGGAGTTGAAATGTATTTAATGTAGTGGCTCACCATGACTTGAAAATGAGTCAGTACTGAGGAGGACTGTCTTCAATGGGCACAACAATACATCTTATTCAGATTGGCAGTACTAATCTATTCTTGTGGTCGGATCCCATTAGCATCTCAGCCTTTTTGGCTAAGATCAAATGTAAGATCACTTTCTCCACCATTGCGGACCATTGTAACG